GACACCCTCTGCACGCTTCCTCATCCAACTCTGTAGCTGACCATTGTAAGCCAAACTTGTAATTTCTTGAACATTTGTTTATCTTCTATTATATCTGTTCCTCTAGTAAACCCTGACTGATACAGGAAGATAGTCAGAATTTCTCAGTTCTCTGGCATCTGTGTACTTTTGCCACAGAGCACAGTTGAATTCACATCCGTTTGTGCTGTGCATATACACCATATACTTCACAAAACCTAAAGTCCTTAGAGGATGTAATCAAATATCTTGGAGAATGATACCTTCCACATGCTGTGTTTGCAAAGCAGGTTCCCTAAACTGTATGTGGGACTCTTAACCTCTCACCATGCTGAAGGCATACAAATATGAAATTTATAGAAAAATGGAAGATTTCTTTCGAGTGAATTCTGCTGTGAGTTACTTCCTTACCCCATGGCTGCCTGCCCTGGACCGAGTGCTGGTGAGAGGAGCTTCAGTGAGACCATTCAGAGAGGTGTCTGCTGCACCTGGGAAGGGAGAGGACACGTGCCTGACTCACAGCTGAGAGACTCAACTGGGAGATGCTGCTGGAACGGACTGTGTGAGCAGAGTCGGAAGTGTCAGTGGCAAACACGGAGCATCACCCAGCTCCGGGGAGAAATGAGCACTGTCCTGAGGAGGAGAGCCAGCCAGACACTGTCAAGCCCCAAACCAGCTGCTGGAGGGTCACAGCAGGACTAGTCAAGAATGGAATTTTCCTTCTCCTCCACTCCATTCTCCTCCTGCTCTATCTCGCTCCTTGCCTTTCAAAATTAGGGAGGGAGGGAGTTCCATTTGTGTTACTATTCTCTGCAATCCTTGTGGGCCTTTGAAGGCCTTTCCTCTGCTGTGGTGGGTCCTCATCATCTTGATGGAGTCTAGGCAGCCACAGCTGACAGAGATATTCCTGCCACAGCCTCGTGTACTGAGGTCCATGCACTCTGAGCTTTTTCTCTCAGGCATCTCCTCACCCAAGGCCCTCTGCAGGCTTTGTTTCTCCTGCAGGTACCCATGAGAACTTTTGAATTTCCCAACATCATGTGAAGGCTGAGGGGAACTCATACCACTCAAGCTGCACATTTTCTGC